TTAAATTTAGTATCACAGCACTATAAGAGAAGGCAATGGGACACTGGTATCCACTTTTTATTCTTTTAATTAATTTTTTTAAATTTTATTTATTTATTTATTTGACAGAGATTACAAGTAGGCAGAGAGGCAGGCAGAGAGAGAGGAGGAAGCAGGCTCCCCACTGAGCAGAGAGCCCGATGTGGGGCTCGATCCCAGGACTCTGAGATCATGACCTGAGCCGAAGGCAGAGGCTTTAACTTACTGAGCCACCCAGGTGCCCCTCTTTTAATTAATTTTTAGGCATAGAGTTCCTGAGTAGCAGAACCAGGGTCAGAACCTGGGCCTTACGAACCAATGGACAGACTACCTAACCAATGCACACAATTCGTGCTAGTTGGTGGTTTGTGTTATGGGTATCAACTGATGGTCATTCTGTGGATGTGATTCACCCTTAGTGATTCAATCTGCCTTCATGGAAAATCTTCCTGAGAGCTTTGCCCCCACCCCAAAGTAGTAATTGCTATGCTGTGCAAGTGCGCACTGGGATGACAGAGGTTTCCCAAGCCCCACAGGTGATTCTAAGGTTTGGGCAAGGTCGATGAGGTTGAGAAATACTGCTCCACACAAATATCGATTTTGATGTGTATACCCTTGTTAGAATTTCTAAAGTGGCACAGTCTGCAACAAAAGCTTTAAGTGAGATTCCCATACCTGAAATACCCAAATCTCTTGTGTCTTCTTTCCTACCCTGCTTAAAAAATGAGGGCTTCAATGAAACGATTATGGGGCCACTTGTGTGCTAAGGTATCCGGCTGTAGTTTAAGCTCTTCTCTAATGCCCATAAAAATGAATAATGCATGCTCTAAAATATTGGTAATAAAAGGCAAAAACAGAATACAAACTCGATGGCCTGAATCAATGGATTATTCTGCAGAGACTGCTATATTGGGAAACTGGAAAAAAGCATTTTCCAAAGCATAAATATTTTAATCACTCTCTAATTCTACTTCTTTCACATAAATAAAAAAAAAAATCCCATCTTCTGCTTCCCCAAGCTGGTGCAGCAAGAAGGCAGCTACATCTCCAAACCTTCCCTTCCAGCAGAAGCATTAACTACCAAGCATTAGATATCTACAAACTAGTGTCCCAAGCAAGGGGCATTGTAGAAGAAATTCCTGCAACTGCTGGAATCTAGTTATTATTTGTAAAATCAGAATTTTGGATTGAGGGTTACAGCTTCTCCAGTAATGAGTGGAAGAAGGCAGATAGCTAAGCCTCTTCTTAGAGAACCCGGGCCGTAGGTCGACAAGCAAATCTGCCATCCACGCTACTGCTCAAAGTGGTGACAGTCTGAGACGGTGTCCAAGAAAGTTCAAAAGAAAGTGTGTCTTATGTTGGGCTCTTTTAAGATATTCTGAATTCGAATTTGGACAATCTTCGGAAACAAGAAAAACATTCAATTTACCAATAACACCGAATCCACGTTTCTTCCTAAATTAAATAGCTTCTGCTACCAAGTTAATAACAAGAAGAAAAATGAACTGATGAAAATTTCAGTTCTTCTTCTCTCCTTTCCAATTTATTATCTGGCAAAGCAGAGCAGTGGCTGATAGACAAGCAGCAGGAAAAAAATCAGGAAGAACTTAGAGGCCTTCATACAGGGTCCATCTTTTTTCAAAAGCCTGCTAGAAGCAGAACAGGGACATAAAAGAAAAAGGACATAGTTAAATCTGTATTTGAGCAACCACTAGCAGAACTCTGACTGGTATACTGCTCTACCAGCAAATAAAACAACAACAAAAAGCGCATCTGTCCACATTTCAATACTTTAAATGGATACACCCAGATAGACATATAATGCAATACACCTACAAACTCAATATACATTATGGTAGGTAGAAAAATGAACCCCCCCCATGGATGTCCACATTCCAATCCCCAGAATCTGTGAATATGTTACATTATATGGCAAAGGGGAATTCAGGTTGCAGACGGAACTGAGGTTCCTAATTGGTTGACCTTAGAACAAGGAAGATTGCCCTGGATTATCCAGGTGGTCCAAGGTAATCACAGGGTCCAAAAGAGTGAAAGATCCAAGCCAAAGCAGGATCAGATTGATGAGGTGTGACGTGGGAAGGACAGGACTTGCTGTTGGCTGTTTTTTAAGATAAAAAGGGCCACAAGCCAAGGAATACAGGCTGCTTCTAGGACCTGGAAAGGCAAAGAGATGGCATCCCCTCTAGAGTGGCCAAAAAGGACCAGAGCTCTGCTAACGCCTTGATTTTAACCCATGAATCCCATTTCTGGTTTCTGAGCTCCCGAGCTGTGGGAGAGTACACTTGCACTATTTCAACTACAAAATCTGTAGTAATTTGTGAAAGCAACCCTAGAAAATTAGTATATGCATGATAAAATAGTTTGTAACGGATAGATTTTTCTGTTATAGAAGTAAGGCATGCGTAATTCTAAAAAGAAAAAAGCAAAGAGAACAAAAATAACTCATGTAGAAAATTGAAAGCCCTTGTCATTATCATCCCTGACCCTCCTCTGGTATCCACTCTTGACGAAGGGATATGTGTACATAGGGTGGGACCCTCTGCCTCTCAGGCTTCCAACTGCCTGTTCACAGCTATAATCACCATCACTACATGGCAGCACGTATGGGACACTAGGCTCACTCTATGATTGGTAGACAATGCACAAAGATGGCACAAGGGCCACAATAAGGAACTATCCCCCAATCCTGGCCCTTAGGTCTCACCAAAGGCAGTTTTTACAGCCACGTAAGTTCATTATGAAAAAAGTTTCAGGGGTGCCTGGGTGGCTCAGCGGGTTAAAGCCTCTGCCTTCAGTTCAGGTCATGATTCCAGGGTTCTGGGATCAAGTCCCACATCGGGATCTCTGCTCGGCGGGGAGCCTGCTTCCTCCTCTCTCTCTCTGCCTGCCTCTGCCTACTTGTGATTTCTGTCTGTCAAATAAATAAGTAAAATCTTAAAAAAAAAAAAAAAAAGAAAGAAAAAAGTTTCAGAGTGACAGTATGGGGACTTCACCTGGACAAAAGGATATCATTACCACCGACCCAAAGACCTGGCCGTGATGAACCCACACAGACCCAACAGCCATGCTCACTTCCTCTGGACTGAGGCCTCCGGCTCCCTTTGCTAACAATGTATTCTCGGGGCTTCATTTCATAAACTGTATGTTCTGCCGGATTTAAGCATCTAAGTGCTAACCCTCTTGAGCCATCCCTCTGCAGGAATTTGGTAATATTTTCCATATACTTTATCTGTGCATAAATCACCAACAATAATATTTGCATTATTATCATTTACAAAAATGCTGATTTTTGTAATTCAGAAGGAGCAGGGTGAATGAAATCCTCTCAGAAAGCAGTCAGATACCTGATGCCACTGCACATGACAGCCAGTGAGGTCCCCTTCTCCTGAAAGAACAGGTGTCCCACACACATAAGAGCTGAGGACTGGACGGCTTTCAGTAACACTGAAGTACGTACATGCAGCATTAATCTGATCCGGGGCAACGCGGCCTTGGTCATTTCAGAGACTACTTAACTCTCCATTTTTTTTTTGGCTTGATTGTACAAAGGTCTCCCTGATCCTTTATTCCTCTTTCTCAGGGATGATTTGGGAAAGTCCCTTATAATCAAGTGAAGTAAACTTAGGAGGCTGAGGCATTACTGGATTTCTTTCCCTCACTTCCCTTCTTCAGTCATGCCTATTCCTGGGCATAGCTGCTAAGACCATTGGCAGCTTCAGACTATAGCTGGCAGATCAGGGCTCTCCACAGAGGGGTGCTGCTGGGACCTGTTTCAATGAACTAAATAGATGGCCCAAGGTAACTAAGACAGAACGGGTTTGCTTCACACAGGGAAGAGCATCATGGTGATGGAAATGATCAGGTTAGAACCCAACTGAGGCTTGGTGAAGAGTATTATTGCCTTTCCCTCATTTCCTTTCCTTTAACCAGTATCAGTTCAAGAGGCCATGAACCAGAAATATGGTGGAAAAGAAGGATGGAATGTAAGTTCAGAGGAAAGGTGACAGGGAAGCAAAGACCAATGAGAATATCAAGTACAGTTGGAATTCTATGTCCTGTTCACCAGCTGTGAAGGCCCCACAGGACAACCATGCAATCAGACCCATGGACTCTTAGCAATAGGTATGTCCCCAGGACCAGGTCAGCAGCCATGGGTGACGGAGCCAATCAAACCCAGATCCAGAAACAGTAGCAAAGGAATGGTACTAAAGACCTCTCCCAATATGCCTGTCCCAACCATCAGTTACTACTGGCCATGGGTTATGGTCAACAAGGCCTTTATCTAAGGATAAAGATTTTGTTTCTCTTGAAAAGTTCACACGATACTTCTGCTTCTGCTAAGTTGGCCAACAGTCTTCTCGTCATCCAACATTCACTCACAAAGAGAAACACAAAATTCATACTTTCACAGAAAACCAAAGAAGATGTCCATTCAAAGAATCAAGTGATTTCTATAAACAAAAAAAAAAGAAAGAAAGAAAAAAAAGTGCCATATCAACGTAACTCAACTCCTTTAAAGAGATTTTGCTTTTGAATAAAACCTCTTTTTGACACAGGGAAGGGCAGATTATCTCAACACATCCATAATCTGCAAAGAAACCACATCACCTAGACAGAGCAGCCTTCCTGATCTCATTTTTTCTCTAACAGCCATCCACACAGGTGGAGGGAGAGGCCTTTTCCCCAGTGGATGCTGTCGTAACACGGAACCCTGGACTAATGCCCTTAAACGAAAAAATTAATCTAGACAGTATTTTTTCAAGGAAAGGTCTCCGCTGGTGGCTCCAGTGTAGTTAGCCAAAAGGGAACAAGGCTGCTCTAGGCTCATCCTTGCAGAGATGAGAGCACCACCAACACACAGCTCATGTCCATACAGGTATGGGAGCTAAAGAATGACGCAGAAGTGGGGCTCCCTTGGGGACGCAGGAAACTGCTGTGTCTGCCTTGTTGATTCACCTTACCTTGTTGAAGTCTTCAGAAGTTGCCCTCATTTCCTTCCACGTCTTGTTCAGGAGCTGGATGCAGATGCAGAAAAACTCCTCGAAGGATCTGTCGTGGGTGAAGAACATTGGGTGGAAATCGTTGCAGGTCTCGCTGGCTGGAAGAAAGAGGAGGGAAGTGAGGAAGTTTGCAGAGTGAAATTAGAGGCCACAGCCACATGGAGGGCTCCCAAAGAGAGGACAGGAGGCAGGTTTGGCCAAAGCCACCGTGGACGTAAGGCATTTTGAAAAAGCAACCTAAGGACAGTCCCCATGCGACTGTGAAGTCCAAGGTCAGACACTCAGACCTACCCCTGGGCGCATATTTTGCCTGAAGGCGGTTAGCTCCCGACCTACCCCACCACAGGACCCTAACGTTTTTTGTTCTCTGGGTCTGTGTCTTTGACCTCATAAAGGACGATTCAAACTGGCCTCTCAGTCACAGTTCCATCACCCTTAATTTCCCCTTTCTCGACAGAATGACTAGCAGAGGATGAGCTTTCCCGAGCACGCATTTAATTGCAACTTTGAAAATCACATCCTTGATGATTTCTCCAGGGGGCTCTTTTCCCTCTTATGGCAGTAAGCTGGGGGGACATTTGAGATCAGATACCATCTGATGCCATTAACCATTTGTTTTACATTCCCAGACACAGATGGCTGGAGGTCAAAGCAACCCAAATGGCTCTGGAGGTTGCACATGGTCCAGTCCTGGTCCTAACAGTGACATCAGCCAGACTGCCTTCATGACTCCCCACTGAAGAGCTTCATGGGGTCAGAGCCAGCGCCCCATGCTCTATAGCTGTGCCTACTTCTCTCCTCCTTCCCAGACCACGACCCCAGCCACCCTCCTCTTCTCTGATATGGCGGCTGCTTACACTTTCACAGTCCTTGTACCTACATCTCATGGGCTCTTTACAATGCCTTTCATGGTTCCTGCCTCATGGACAAGGACACTGGAAGGAGCCAGGTTTTGTGATCAACCCCTACCCAAAAGAGTACCCAAGTTTTGTTTTGTTTTGTTTTTAATATAACCTGTTAATGTATAGTGAAAGAATTCCTATTTGAATTGGAATCTCTCTAAAGGCCAATTAGTCTTCAAGTTTCCAAATGGCAGAATTTCAAGTCCAGGAGTGGAGGATGGGGCAGGGCTGGAGCAGGGTTTATAGCAAAGACCTTCTGTATGTGCAGAAAGCCCTGTGCCTGCCATGTGGTTGCTTCCGCTTGGAAAGAATCCTTTGGGGCAGACCCCTGCACGTGAGCCCTAAGCAAACCTAAGGGAACACACTCTACTCTGGCTGGGCTACAAGCTACAATGCACCAGCCTCTTCTATCTTGGTGGATTCCAGACTTCTAGATGGGTAGATACAAAGATACATAAATGCTGTTTTCTTCTAGACGAAGTAAGGACACAGGCTAGCAGGAACATGCAGTTACACAGGAAAGGTTTGGTTCTGAGAATAGGAGATTTGGGTTCAAGCCCAGCCCGTGACAATCAGGAGCAAGGCTTTACATTTCTGAGCCCTGATTTTTTTTTTTTTTAACTAAAAAATGTTAATGGCATCTCCTTGTCCATCTCTATAGGTTTTGGAGAGGATCAAATGACATGACTTACAGGAAAGTGCTTTAAAAGGACAGACGTTGTCGGAAACATAAAGCAAGGTGATGATGATAAACGTAGGGTTGGTCTGTCATTTCTAAGAACACAGGCTGTTTTTTGATTTCCCGCCTCCCCCCCGCACCCCACCCAGTTCCTAGTCAAGCCCATTCCCATCTCAGAAATGAGCTTCAAGAACATATGTCACCCCAACCCCCAGCCTGTGTCACTGTTAGAAAAATGGAGACAGTGAAGTTCTGACCTGGGACACAAAGCTATTTAAAGAACTTGGAATGTAAACACAGGCGGATTGTGTGTTTGCTGCCCGGGGCAATGAGCTGTCAGTCTCACTTTCCTAAGCACTGAAGCCAGTGGAATTTACAAGTCGGCGGCAGCGCTCTGAAACACTACTGCCACCCAAGAACTCGTTATTAATCACATTATCACAATATCTTTGGGGGCCCAGTGTGATTATACGTGGACTTTATGATCTAGTTAAAGTTTTTACGGGATTACTGAAGCCAAGATAACCAGACAAAACTGAAACCGACGAGCCCTACTCTTACGAGGGAGGGAAGAAACATCATGAACAACAGAGAATATTTATTGGGTACATATTATGCGCCAAGGGGCTCTACTGGTGTTATCCTCACAACAACCTGAGAGGTAGTCGTTATGCTTATCTTCATTTTATATATAAGGAAGGTAAAAGGTGGAGAAATTAAACCTTCCATCATGAGCTTTCTTTAGCAGGACCCAAATGAGCATTTGAAACCTGCAGTTTAGGTGACCCAGTAGGTTTCCTGCCTTAGTTAACAAGAGTTCGGGACATTTCCTTGTCACTGCTGCTTTGGGAATTAACTTCCCCACCCACTCTCCCAGATTCTCTTGCACTGCTCCTTCCAGAGAAACCGGGATCTTGACCCACCCCTCTACCCCATCTGGAGGGGCTCACAGCAAGTACACAGCCAGCCCCTGCTGCTGGACAACACACTGTGCAGTGTGACAGTACCAACAGCAGGAACACCACCGCAGCCACCTTTTGTCAGGCACTGGGCTCTAAGTCGTTGTCAGTTGTTAAAGAAGTGAGGAAGACTTCATCTATTTCTTTTCTTTTCTTTTCTTTTCTTAAACTAGAAATAGGAGACTTAGAAAGGTTAGGCGACTTCTCCAAGGTCCCAGGTCACAAGGCTTGTAAGTGGTACAGCTGGGATTCTGACTCCCATCATCAAGGCCCGTCACTCTCTGGTTATATTTGTTTCCTGATTGTTTCCCAATTAACTCTGCTTCTACTGCACCTTCCCCAGCCAACACAAATATGAAAGAGTTGCTTTTACATCCACAGAAGATATTTATGAAGTAAAATCTTACAAGTGGCATGACCTTAACTATTAATACTTAGGGTATATTTAGAATCTAGGATTCCTCTGCTTTCCCCCTACTAGTCCCAGTCCAAGTGGTGTAAGATTCAAATCACCAGGTTACACTCCTCTTCTGGACCTTACTTCCCCTTCCCTTGGGTTGGGTCAAGCTGTATTCCTGACAACTCTCTTGAATACCTAAGACACAGTCTACCTGGTTAAAGTTTCTATTGAACAACTCTTTCATCTTCTCAAGATATTCTCAGCCTTGGAATACTCCAAGTTTCCCCTAGAGAGTCACTCAGGAGAGTGACACTTGATGAATTTATTTAAACTTATTTCAAGAAATTAGCGGGTCGGGTTCCATGTTAATAAGCCCCAATTTTGTTCACTGCAACAATGCATCCACCCCCCAAAAAAGTACATTTCTCAGTCTCTTTTATAACTTAGAGTGATCATTATGACCCACCCCAAACCAGTGATAGATACAAAGAGAGTACTGGGTAGAGTTTCCAGGAAAGACCTTTAAAAGAGGAAGGACACTTGACTGTCTTGTTCCTTTTGCTTCTGCATTCATGCCTCAACTTCTTCCAGTTCAGAACACTTCTTGACCAGCAATGGCTGGAGCTCCTGCAGCCATTCTGTCATCATGAAAGTGAGGGCTGTCCCCTAGAGTGGAGACTTTGAAGGAGCTCCAGAGGACACTGTGAAATCACCACACCGACTGTGAACCGACCTCCTAAGGAATTCCTTGCTTACGATTTGAGTCACTGTTTTCAGGTTTTCCATTACTCTCAGACATACAGAATTACTGATATAGAAACTTAAACTTATGCAAGCACACAGACATTAAGCAGAAGAGAACACACGCTCAGGATTATGGGAGGCCATGGAGTAAGCAGGAATGAGGAAGCAGGACTGTGTAATAGTTACTAGCACACTACGTAACCTTAGACAACAAAACTCCCCGAATCTGTAAAATATATGAACTTAAAAATTTATAATCATCAAATTAGCTTATGTATATAAAGTACGTGATAAGATACCCAGCACACAGATGGATTTAGTAAACAGTGGCTATTCAATATTACTTTTATCATCATTATCAATGCACTATGTGGCTTCTTAAAGACTTGAACATTTCTAGGAAATAAGGAAAGGAAGAGGAAAAATCTGGTGAATGGTCTCTGGGGTCCTATTGATGGGTAAGGGGTAGCGTCAGCTAATCATTCTTATAGATTATGTCAAAATCCTCTGGGGTATTCAGACCCTAAAGCTGAAATTTCACATGCTGAGTATACATGTACCCATCATCCCTGGCAGATCAACACTGTCTTCAGAGAAAAATAGCACCTGGCTCCTTCCCACTGTGTCACATAATGAAAAGAACATACGTTTCAGAGTCAGGTGAGTTTCAATTCAGGTTCTCACTGGGTCAGAGATGCGAGCATCTCTCTCCCCAGCTTCCTCAGCAGTAGGAAGAATGCACTACTAGTTACCTCCTGGGGCTGGAGAGGGCAGAGTGTCTGGCAGACGCTGGGCCTTGACACACAGTTAAATCTAAGTTTCCATCCTCTCCTTCAAACCTCCAAATAATATCCAAATCTCATATGCTCTTTTCAACTGGTCATGAGAGAAATGCTGCTAATGGTTCATTAAGAAGTAAACAGTGGGACAGTCCCCCGACAGAGGGCGAGACCCCAGAAGTCAGTGTACGAGGGGAGGACACAGTTCGTTCCCCCTTCTGGCAAGGGAGGAAGGGGCAAGCGGTGGAGGCTGGGAGAACGGGAGTCACACAGGAAGAAACAGGAGGAAGTACCCTATTTCCCTTTGCCTTTTGTGTTTTGAAATCAGAGGCCTCAGGGACTGAAGAACAGTGGGACGAAGGGATGTGGCTAACAGCAGGATGGAGTCCTCATCAGGACGCGTGCACGTCAGGAGCAACCCAAGACTGACGAACAGTCCTGTCTGTGTTCCTAGTGAGGAATGGCAGCACTGGGAAATACAGCTTGACTGGAAGTTTCTTGAGGAATAAAGGTGACCAGAGGAGCTGAGCTATCAGAACAGTACTGGCCAGCAATTACCAGAAGCTGGATGCTGGCCACTGTTGTAAGAACTTCACCCGTCCCAACTCTGAATCCTCAGTAATAGCAAAGTTCCT